AAAAAAGGAATTGTAAAATAAAAAGACATTAAAACTGTACAAATAAAAAGTAGTTAGACATTCAAAATCATTCAATTAAAAATTCAAAAATTACTGGGAGGTAGAATTTTTTAAAAACTATGAAAAAGTGTGTGTGAATAAATGAAATTTCAGGTTTTTCTTAAAAACGTTCACATAATGTATGTTTCGTAGTTCACTTCGTAAATCTGTTCACAGAACGGAGAGGCTGCTTTGTCAAATCTTCTTTCCCGATACGTTTTAGTTGTTACGTTTGGCGTTGTTTAAAGCATGACATTTTCAGATCTCAGTGCTCTTATCAGTTTATAGATATTAACGAGTTCTTGTAAGAAGACCGGTCTCACCTCGTGCAAAGCCTTGAACACATACAAAAAGAAGTTTATATTGGCTTCGATAAGCTACAGGCAGCCAATGCAGAGACTTTAATATTGGTGTGATGTGGTCGTACTTCTTCCTCCTTGTAATGACACTGGCTGCTGTGTTTTGGACGCAATTTAATATATGAATAATGGTAGCTGGGAGTCTCTACAGCAATGCGTTCCCATAGTCCAAACGAGAGGCCGTTAAAGAGCATACTAACGTTTTGCATGCTTCTGTTATTAATGGACGAATTCGTCCTTTGTTTCTTATTGAATCAGGGTGTCGAGACAGCACTAGTTTGCTTGTCCATTGCCAAAGTTTTAGCAAATAAATGCCTAGATGATTTTTTAACGCACGTAACATCACTAACAATGTTTCCACCAAATTTGAGATAAAAGTCTGAAAGGTCCTTCACTTGTTTTTTGGAGCAAATACTATAAATTCAGTATACTATTTAATGTTAACATATTCGAGCACATCAACTTGCTGATGTAAGCCACGCATGCTTCAAGTCACCTGGATATGTTCGTTCAATTATCAAGTGGAAAATAAAGGCAACAGTAGTATACCGCTGTTCGAAATTCATAAATCGATTGAGAAAAAAAACAAATCCGGGTTACAAACTAAAACTGAGGGAAACACATCAAATATTATAAGAGGAGATCTACGACACAACAGAAACACAACATTAAAATGTAACACACACAGAAACGAACTATAATATAACAATGGCCACTTTCCTGACTTGGTACAGGACATTTAAGAAAAAATGGTGGGTTGAACCTGGTTTTGTGGCTAGCCAAACCTCCCGCTTTTATGACAATGTTAAATATAACATTAAAATGACAACATTGCATGACAGGACTACAATACAAATAAATGGGAGAACATATAGGACAGAGAAACATACGAATAATAGCTAACGAAAGATCCCAGGTTTAAAATTTAATACGCAAGACGCGCGTTTCGTCCACACAAAACTAACCAGTGACGCTCAGATCAAAAAAGTTCGAAAGCCAAAACAAGTACAAAGTTGAAGAGCATTGAGGACCAAAAGTTCCAAAAAGTTGTGCCAAATACGGCTAAGGTAATATGTCTGGGATAAGAAAACGAGATAAACTTGTGTGTCATCTGCATAACAGTGATAGCACGTATTATGACGTTAACATATTTCGCCAATCTTGAAAAAATACAATAAAGAAGACAGTATAATAGACATATGGAGCGCAAGCAGCACGTCTACGATATGCCAAGATCAGTAAAGATACAGAGGACCAAATAACTTTAATGAACCTTTTTATAATTATTATAACAAGATGAATATTTTCACATCTTCTTACATTATTACAGCACATAACGTTACTAATGACAACAATTGTCCATGGTTGACAATAAATTTATTAATACCAATTTATCGACCACAGCCTCTACTTATTGTAACTATTTGTCCTGATGACAACCAAGAGAAATTTCCATGACGCAACGAATATAGTAACAAACAAGAATGTGTTCATAGTACACGGATGCCCCACTAGCACTATCATTTTTTATGTTTAGTGGACCGTGAAATTGGGGGTCAAAACTCTAATTTGGCATTAAAATTAGAAAGATCATATCATAGGGAACATGTATACTAAGTTTCAAGTTGATTTGACTTCAACTTCATCAAAAACTACCTTGACCAAAAACATTAACCTGAAGCGGGACAGACGGACGAACGGACGCACAAACCAAAAAACATAATGCCCCTAGGTGGGGCATAAAAATGGAAAAGATCAAGACAGAAATAAATTTTTAAGTAATAAACTGTGTGGTTTGTGTTGCTGAGACATAAGTGTTCTATGTAATTGTCTGTCGACTTTTGTCTTTTCGTCTCTTTCTTCAACTGATGTTGTATACTAAAGGAAAGCCAATCTGCTTCCACAGGAAACCATTCAACTAGTTTATTGCTGTTCAATGTTTTGCCTTTCAAGTATAAGATTGAAGACCTTGTCATGGCACGAATTGTTCCTCCGGAGAAGAGCTAGACAGAGAAGCCATTTTAAATTGTTCAAAATAGGATGGATCATGAACAGAAATTGTAATCAGACGATCAAATGTTTTTAAAGAAAGAAAACATCCATTTTATAGATATTTGTTATATTAAAAAAAAATAAAATTAGTTATTTTTTTCACACTCAAATATATAGAATTCTTAATGTTAAAGAAGAAATTCGGTTTTTCTTTCTTAAATTAATTATAATTTAATGGTATGCTTTGTTTAAAAGTTGTTCTTTTAATGTTTTCTTTTGAATCAAAAACTAATGTTATTGTAAACAAATTCTGTCTTATACTTATTGCACACACCAAAATTAAGTCCATGGAAAACAATCTACAATCGTCGATCCTGCAAAGGAAGACAGCTATAACTGACATGGAGCACAAGCAGCACATCTACAATACGCCAAGATGAGTAAAGATACATAGGATCCTCAAACTTCAATAGACTTTTTGATAATAATAACTAGAACATTTTGTTAAATAAATATATTCGACTCTACTTTTGTAGACAAAACGCGCGTCTGGCGTACAAAATTATATGCCTGGCATCCTTCATGAGATTTTCTCCTAACTTATAACAGTACATAACGACTACAATTGTATTTTGTTGATGATTCATTTACGTACCTTAGCCCCCACTTATTGCAACTATTTGTCCTGGGCGAAAAATGTAAATACAATAGCAGATTCCTAAATTGTTAGTGTCAAATATTGGTATTTTAATTATTTTATCTGTGTGATTGGTTTTTGTCAGACTTCATACTGATATTTTGCGAAAATCACTTTTTAGGTGATGGACGCGGCGAGATATCGCCATCAATCAATCAATCTATTTTGCAATAGTGTACGGCAGATTATGATATGTGATACCTGTTGAAATTTCGTGACCTTGTGCAATGCTAAGATACAGGTATCGACAGATTGTAGATGAACATTTAAAATAATTAATTACTAAACATCTTTCCACATGGTAAATACGAGAAATTAAAGTACATAGTGGTTATGTTTTATCCTAAAACATGTGGAAAAGGGCTTTGAAGGGTTACACAATTGAAAAAATCGTAAGGGGACAAACACATTTTTCACGTTTATCGTTATACAAAAATACATGACAAACAGGACATTTTCTTTACTTTTAAAATTATTTTTCCTTTTCTTATCATGCTGTCATGATGGTTTCTCGTTTTGAAGTTTACACATCTCGTTAGGTTTGCTCTGCAGTGACGTCTAAGATTTCAATGAACATTGAATAACCAATTATAATATTTGGCAGCTCCACACTTTCACTTGAAGTCGCAAGAAGGGCCAGAAGTATTCTTCATGACACGCAATTCCTCCATGTTCCTATTTTAGACTTTAATAGTTACGTAGAACCATTGTAGCTGAACATGTTCTTTGGTAGATGCGATATTCAAAATATCAAGAGTTGCTTCTTACATAGTAATATGATAAAGCAGATGTCATTTTTACAGATGCCATAATGTCATGCAATAACCTTGATTAGTTATTGCAAGGTTGTTTTACTTTTCATGTATTAACATTGCCTTTCCTACCAGATAAAATAAATATTTCAGTCATATTAGTGTTTCATGAAAAAAAAAGTTTCACGGTGGTCACATTTGAATATTCCTGTCAATCCATGGGCTCAAATAAATATCGATGGTAATATAGTCGAGTGTTTGAATTAGTCAGGTTTTAGGGACTTCCCCTTTTTGAATTTGCATTTGAGTTTAGTATTTTTGTTAAAAAAAAATTCCACTACTGTAAACCAACTTATATCCGCCGAAAAGGGCAAAACATCAACACTGAGTTGGTTTATAGTGTGTGATGTAATGTAGATATCATTATCGATGTTAGAAGAGAGTATGCTGTTATAAAGTTAAGGATGCACAACGAATGCGTTGACGACACAAGCTCATGTTTGCTTGTTCCATCAGTTGACTTATATGACCAAGTTTTATTATTGGTTGATCAGTTTTACTTTGCGCATCAAGGAGAACATTTTATCCATTTTCGGAACGAGAACAAATGAAACATTTAAGTTCCTTACAGTGGGTCGTGTGGGGTTTGGATGCCGATGAAAGACATGTTGGGTATTGTCATAAATTGTGCCTTGCAGAGGCTTAAGGTCACTAAAAATCATTTAAGACACCAGGCTTATAATGTTGTACGCCAGACGCGCGTTTCGTCTACAAAAGACTCATCAGTGACGCTCGAATAAAAAAAAAGCTGAAGGTCGAAAAAAGTACGAACTCCTCAAAGGGCTCTTTTTGTCATCCACAAATAAACAAGAATTGGGGTATCTACAGTAACTGATCACAGATACCCTCATCCGCAATATAACTCCTGAACGGCAAATTGTATTTCACATAATCGAACTTGACTTATCATCCAAAAAAAAAAAAACCCGCTTGTCTTACAAATGATGAAGGAATATAGCTCATGAATGGTAAATGCAAAAAATTGTCAAAATGGAAGTTGACCTGCTTTGTATGGTTCTTGGCATTGTATTAAAATTTCAAACGATTTTGTCAAGTGGTATTCTAATTATCTTCTGGTAACAAAACAAAACAAACAAAAAAAATCCCTAAATTTTAAGTTAATTGAGGGTTATTAAGATTCCAAATGAGACTGTCTAATTAATGCTTGCTAATAAAAATTCCTCTTTTTAAATTTAATATTTATCAACATATATAATATTACATTATAATTTTTTTTAGTTTGTTAGAATATCGGAAATAGTTCTTGGGAGCAGTTACTCTGTTGATGACACATTAGTAAGTTTTGGTTACAATAATCAGTTGAACACTGACAAATAAATCCGCTTTCTTTTTTATCACATCCAGTTAGTTCATTGCTACACTTTCGAAGATGAGCTGAAAAATAAAACAATATAAATTGTACAAAATGTCAGATAACTAGGAAGGTTTTAATGTTAACATTAAGACATTCCTGCAAACGAATAGATTCGAAATGTCAGAAAAGTTGATGTTCACGATCAATCTCTAAATGTGATAAATAGTTCCGATATATATTAAATATGGAATATGTATGTTAGACTCAGATTGACGTCCGTTTCTCAAATCGACGTCTTATGAAAAGTCACCTTCTCAAATCAGTGTCCACTATTTTTACCCTCTAAACGACGTCCAATGTGACGTCATGTATTTATGACCCGACAATTGTTCGTTTTATTCTTATTGCTTCGTGATATATTCGTGTTGGTATTTAGACACACTTGGTTCAATTACATGTACTTTATAAAGAAATTTCGACAAATGTTCGTAATAGCGCGCTTGTAAATAAGATGTACATATAATTGGTCGTTTATATTTTTCCTTTTTGCATTTTGAAATATTATTAGTTAATAATTTATACATGCTGATACGGGAGTATCAGATAGGGAGCGACGGGGTAATATGACCCGACAATCGTTCGTTTAAAGTTCACTTTTAGGATTTTGTATATTTTTATAATTCATGCTTTTTATTATCATTCCGAGTCGTCATTAATTTTTAATAATTCAAAAGTTCATTGTATAGTACACTATTCAAAAGTTACTTGTATTTTACATTTAACTATAATCCATTCATTTAAATTAATTATCAAAGATTTATATCCGTCTTTAAGATAAAAGGTTCTGTAACAAAGAACATAGATAATTTGACACTAAGTGATAACTGCCGAAAGCCATTCTTGACAAACTTATACGAAGCATGTTTTTAATCCGTAATCCCCGCTTTCGGCAAAACGCGAATTAATATTATTTAATGAAAAGATATTTGATTGGTTGATATTCCGCAGGTCAATCAGTCTTTTGAATTTGTATTTTAGATTTGTTTTTATGTTGTTATTCAGTTATGTTTTTATGATTGAAATATATGGATGCGAAATAAATATGTAAACTTTCCAGCGACTTGGACTTTATCTAAACTACCGCTAGTTTCCCCCGAAACTAATTAATATGACAGAGGTGACCAACAACCTGGTCATATATTACTAAAAAGGTCGTCAGATTAATCGAAGTCTCCTTTCATCCATTGTTCAATTTCGTTTAATAATTTATTCTTTGTTTATATTACCTGTATCGTTTTGTCTTTGCGTAAAGCTGCTTAAAGAAACTAATTGTTTTTATTTTTCTTTGTAATTTACAAATCATAATGACTTAGTTGTTCATTTGACGTACGTTTATGAGAAAGAACAACAAAGATGGCAACATCCCGTCCCAAATATTCAACTATATAAAAATAAAAGGACATACATCAGTAAATGACTAAAAGACAAACACCGACTTGATATTACATGCATGTTAATAATTCGGTAAAATAAGTAAATCCACTCGATCTAAGTTGTCTTATTCCTTTTATATAGGGCATACTCATAACTGTTAATTCAAAAATCAATACGTGCATAATAATATAATTTAATGAGGCAACCACTCAAAGACAAAGATAACCGAAAGATATCTAGGGAGCAATATACAGTCTCAAACAATAGGCAGAATAAAGATTTAAAATCAATTATTAAAAAGAATAATTATTTTGACTCTGCAAGATTTAAAATATTATATTATTTAACAATCTTTTGAGTTTAGGTTCAACCAACCATTTGCTTTCGAAAAATTCCACTGTCTCGAGGTGAGAAATATCGTAACACACTTGATACAGTGGTGGAATTTATATTTCATTAGGACGTCAGATTTAGACGTCGATTTGAGGAACGGACGTCGGTTTTGTAGAGATCAGACGACGATCTGAGTCTTACATATATGTAACTAATATATTTCCATAGTCGTTAACTCAATTCCTTTCTCTTGTCCTTTATCGTGACATAACCGAATGAGAATCATAATGCAATTTTTACTAACCATGAGCAAAGTTACGTGTGTCACTATTGAGGCAGGATCTATTTCCCCTCCCGGAGCACCTGAGATCACCTCCAATTTTATATGTAGTGTTTTGTGGATTTGTTTGGATTTTCGTCGTTTTTCGTTGTTCGCCATTTCGTTTTCAGTATCTCTTGTCCCCTTGGTACCTTCTGCTTCCATGTTAAATATAAATTAACTAGCACCAGGACGTGTCTGTTGGTACATACGTTTAAACTAAAATTGCATGTGCAGCCTTGCCTAAAGTATTAACTTGACATTATAAAATCTATTAGATTAAGTGGGATTCGCACAGTTTCTTATTTAAAAAAAAACCAATATTATCAATTCAATTAGACGGATCAATCTTTAATACGAATAATTTTATATTTCGCATTCTCTTTGGTAAAAAAAAGGAATCGTACGATGCTTATTCAAAACAACATTCAGTCAGGGTAAGGTTTGCTTATTTGGCCCGACGTTTGCATTCGTCTTATGCTGTGATTATTGTTTGTTACACGTCTAGTGGCAAATATTGCATGCATACTCAGGGCAATTGATTAAATAGTTGGGTTCTAATGAAAATCTGCCAACAAGGATGAAAGTCAGATAATTTGGACTACCATTGTAATACGAGAATAATTATGTTAGATACATGTAGGTGCTAAATCTGTACAAAACAGTTAAGTTCGACCAATCAAAAAGGAGTTCGTTAAACGTTGCATTCACTACAAAAAAATCAGATTCATTGTCAACATTTCTATACAAAAATCCACCTTTTTGACCCATTTGTATATGAATCTGCTGGAAAACAAACATGCTATATTAACATTTATCTGGAATATTTTGGTGGGAAAAATTAGGTACTCTCGTTACCAAACGTTTGTCTAAATAGAAAGACCAAAATTGTTTAGAGTCAACTTGAGAGTGTTGCATTAGATAATGATGATAATGGATATGTGTGGAAACTGTTATATGCATATCAGGACGATAACATATTAATGTTATATGGATATAAACCCCTCTTTATACTAGATCGACACTCTGAGCCGGGGGCACTTTTACACAACTGAAATATCCTGAGAATTGACTGGGGTTCACCCGGTCGGAAGGCATCGAGATGTTGATCCGATGCCTTGTGCAGGGGATAGCCACGCTCTATCGCAAAATTTCTTCTGTTCCTATCCAACAGAATTTCAGTACAGTTACATAGTTAATAAACTGAAAATTCGAATCAATATTTAACTAATGCCAGGACAAAGACATTGACTACTGGTACCCTGGAGACGTACAGTCAACATGATGCTAACCTTCGTTTGTCTGATCAGCCAGCGCTCCTACAAAACAGCTCCCTTTACAATCTTGAGTGTGTTGTATTATATTTTTTGTCGTCATATCAATATGATCTGCGCATGATTCCGGAAATTCGTCAGAATTGCATACATAACATAGGGTTGCGTAACCTAAAAAAGATGTTTGAACTTCATGGTTAATATTACTGTATAATTGTTATTCGTATTTCATAATTGACCTGTCAGTACGTCATTTAATATGAGTCAATTAAAATAATCGGAATCGTGAAACAAATTATTCCAATATTTTACAGAGCTTTTCTATTTTTGAATTTTAAATGTTTCAAACGATGCTGAAAAGAAATGAAATTGTTGGTCTTAATCAAAATCGAAATTTTGTAATAAATTGGATTGATTAAAACAGAAAATTGAAAATACTAGGAAACAGAGGCCAAAGTCAATTTTGTTAATGAGTAAGTTGCAGCAGACAAAAACGCTTTTCAGAAATGTAAAACTGTTTATAAATTTGGCGAGTCCGAAGCATTTGACTTTCTGGATTAAAATTACTTCAACAGGAACGCTCTTACACCAAGAAAATGTCAATTGAAGTGAAGAAAGATGTTAATTTTTCAATAAAGCATGCATGGTCTGAATTCTCATAAAACATATAAACAAGAAACAAAGAAACAACTTCTTATTGCAATATGATCCACAAGTATGAACAATTCTGAAATGTATAGTTGTTTATGAAAAGTTAAAAAAAAATGACAGGATGATACAGACGGGGATTCGAAGTTTTCCTACCAGCAGCATTATCAAAAAGTAATATAAATATAACGAGTGTTGTACACACAATAAAATTATCAAGCAAGCTCGAAACCGAAATTTCTAGAAGCCAAAACCATAACAGGCTTACAAGAATTAAAATAACCAGTATTTTAACGCACAAAATGCAAATCTATTTTGCTTACCTTTAAAAACATGAAGGAGACAAAAGAAGATAGTCAGTTTGTCCATTTTTAATATTTTTATTTATTATTTAACAATAACTGTAAACAAATACAACAAAAATGAGGAAACGAGTCGTATCCGAGTCTACTTCATTTAAATAATGATTATGTAAATATATAGTTCGCCTTAATATAATCATACATATGGCATAAACTGAGAATTCGTTATTAAAACAATCTCTTCAGTTTATTAATAACTTCTTAAAAATAACAAAAAAATGGGTGTATCCAAATTCTGCGAGCATGAAAAGATCTACCTACCCCCATTTCCAACCAAAACTATCAGATAAACCCTTGTATGAGGTTTTGGTCTGAAGTGTCAATGTTTGACTAGATTTTTTGTTTATTACTGTGAAAGTACTTTTATTCGTGGGGTACCAATTTTCGTGGTTTTCGTGTGACAGTTTCTACTTAAATTAAAGTAATGCATTATGTAATACAGTTTTGTAGAAACTGTTAACAGCAAAATGACCAGCAAAACAAGATCTACAGAATTAATTGCCAATATGACTAAAATCATAAGACGATTTCTTATAGAGGAGATGCGCAAGGTATCAAAGAGATACTTTAACTCGAAAACAAACTGACAATGCCATGGCAACAAAAAGGAAAAACGACAAAAAGGCAAACAAAAGTACAGAACACACAACATAGAAAACTATGAAAGAAATTCAAAAAGCATACCAAAGTCACAGTCAAAACTCGTACATTCAAAGCAGTGAAAGAATTGAAAATTAAGGAAGAAAAGTTGGCTTTCTGGAAGTTGACAGTTCTAATCTAATACCGTGTTCACACTATAAAATCTGCACCGGGTCGAACCCGGGTTAATTAACCCGAATTAATTACCCCAGTTCACACTTGATAAAAAATTAACCCGGTTTGGGATTTTCCCTCTCAACAAAAATAGAAATGTTAGCGCCAAAATTGTAACCCGCATCTGTCCACTGTACATATTTACATTTTTTTTTCATCACAGATGCATTATTTAAAGTCTGAAATTTTTTACCGCACTCCTGGCCGCTTTGGAGGAGTTCGATCACCATCAACCACTTTCCGTGTTTTTAAATAACGTTCCTTTATCCAAATTGCACCCATTTTTCGCCCAAAAAAGCGACGGAAATGATATAGGTTTCATCGTTTGTCATTATGCAGGTTTTTCAACATAGATTAATACACTTATATCCCTCTTGCTGCCGATAATTTAATATGGGTTATATAATTCGTGACCCAGTAAACATGGTAACTGGACGTCTGTCAAAATATGTCACTATAGCAACAACCTCACATTAACTTCACTTTGCGTTCACATTTAGAAGTGAGGTAGTTAACCCGGGTTCGCCCCACATTAACTCCACCTCAAATGAGGGGTAATTTTAATCCGGGTTCGCCCCGGGTTAAGGCGTTCACACTACCTAAATGTAACCCGGTTTAAAAAGGCATAGTGTGAACGGGATATTAGTGTGTCACTAAATTCTAAATCCTGAGTCAAAATCATTCCACAAGCTAAAAGAATATAACAAGGCATTATAAACGGGTTATAAACCCCTAGTATAACTTTACTTATATCTATGTTAATCAGAATGTAATGTTGCAAGTGGGATTGTTCAAATTTTACGAAAGCAGACTTCGACAAGGCAAACAGAGTAGTCGAGTGCTTTTGTGGATCACAATTCTTATAATGATATATATTAAAACTATTTGCTTAATTTAAAATGTCATATGATAGATGGGTTCTGTTTGTTATGTCGACCGGGAATTTCAGTTTTCCACGGAAAAATTGCACTGCAACAGGCCACCCCAACGTGCAGAGAGCATGGGACTCGCTCTCAACGGAACATTCGTTTTAACGTCACAATTCATACTTAATGTGGTTCCGTATTCATACATCCAGCAGAGAAAACGGATGCTCTCCATTAGGAAAGATTTTACTGCCGGACGGGGGTTAAGTTTGCACTAAGTAGTTCTGGTTTGCAGTAAATAGTTCCGAAATTGGTAGTTAAAAGTGATGCTTCAACATTAAAGCAACTATCTTTTGTAATGATTCAACCGTGTTCTTTCTAGATTAACCATACACTACTTTTCATCTATTGAACATTCAACATGTTCATATTTGATTCATTGTTATTGTTTTAACTATTGAACATTAACAGAAAGTCAGTAACAACCAACATTCATTTTTGTTGATAGAGTATTGAGCAGATGATAATGAAAATTTATAGATTAACTGAAAATTTAATAAGACTTATTGAGTAGATGATAATGAAAATTTATAGATTACCTGAAAATTTAACAAGGCTTCAGTCGGTGATCTGCTTAAATTTTGAATAAATCAAATCAAATCAAATCAAATCAAATCAAATCAAATCAAATCAAATCAAATCAAATCAAATCAACAAATCAAATCAAATCAAATCAAATCAAATCAAATCAAATCAAATCAAATCAAATCAATCAAACAAATCAAATCAAATCAATTTTATTGGTGTAAAATCCAAATATTGGATTGTTACCAAGACAAACATGACAATATTTACAAACATACAATAATTACAGTCAAACAACATTGATATTATATAAGTCAATCATATATTTATATATTTAATTATTTTGGAGGAAGTGATATTTTTGCAATAGTGAAATTACAGTTTAAATGAAGTTGTTATAAAATATAACAAAACAAATATATATGTAATAAAAAAAGAAACATAGAAAATATCACAAATTTGCATTACATAATCAGTTTTTCTTGTCAGCTAGGCTATTTCTTAGTACATATAAATCATTAACCCCTTTAACAATTATTTTAGTTATGTCATACTCATTAAATGTAAACATAAATGTAAATTTTTCCTCGTCAGTCATTTTGTTGAAATATGGGATTATACCCTCTACTACCTGAAAAAGTTTTTGCCTGTGTTTTTCTAAAATTTGACATTTTAAAGCAAAATGATACTCATCTTGAACCCCCTTTTTAACTAGAGGACATAATCTTTTTTTTTCAATGGGTAATTTACGATGCCTACCTTGTTCAATATTTAGATTGCTATTACTTAATCTTATATTAATAAAATTAGATATCATGTATCTGTCTAAATCTATTAATATAAAATTTTCTAATTTGTATTCTTTTTTTTTAATTTTCTGTACGTTCTTAGTTTGTTACCATTCGGGTTGTTTTGGTCATTAAAAAGACTGTTTTTCCAGAAATCTATATATCTTTCGGCTAATTTGTTCCCTACAGAATTAATCAGGCATTTTTTTGAGAAAGTATTTTGATTTTCCCATACATGATTGAACCCTATTTTTGAAAGAGCATTTTTCAATTTGGCTGCAAAACCATTATGTAAATTTAAACTACATTTATAGGCATTTGAAGCATAACTTTCTTCTTTTGCATTTATCAAATGACACCAAAATCCCACAGAAGCCTTTAAAGCATCAATAGCAATAGGTAACATACCTATTTCTGCAAAACTGCTGTGTTAAATGCAGCTTTACTTATACCAACAAGATATTTAGCAAATTTAACTTGAAATTTTGATGGCAAAAATGATAAATATCTACATTCAAGACTAGAATTGTCTTTAACTATCATATCAAGTGCCCATATTTCACTGCAATAAAGTAGTATATGTTTTAAACAACTGTCAAACAGTTTTAAATGTGGATATATATTAAGTTTATCAGAAAATAAAAGCTTCGTGATGCAAAACATTGCCTTTGAAGCTTTTTTACACGGGTGAATAACTGCACAAGAGAAAATTCCTGAAGGCTGAAATAAAATTCCCAAGTATTTATATTTATTGGTCAAATCAACTGTCTGTTCATTGAATTTAAAGTTGTAATTTTTTAGAACTTTACCTGACCATAACATTAGTTATGTATAAAAATGCATTCTATTAATCATTGATTTGATTTGATTTTTGGTGTTTTAACGCCACTTTTAAGCACCGCTTTTGGGCTATTTCGTGGCGGCCAGTTTTTATTGGTGGAGGAAGCCAGAGTGCCCGGAGAAAACCACCGATCTTCGATAGGAAAACTGACTATCCTAGTCAATTAAGATTGGAGTCGAGTCCACCCGCAGGAGCGGGGTTCGAACTCACAACCTCAGTGTTGACTGGCTAGTGATTACAGTAGTAACTACTTAGACCACTCGGCCACCGAGGCCCCTCTATTAATCATTAATAGGCAAATAAATAGCTATATTATAACAATTCATTTCTATTTCAGTGGTCTGGAAAATGGTATAATTGCAGACAGGATGTTCCTGAACAATACATATAGAGATATTGCACCGAATATTTTGGCAACCATGTATCTAATTTTGTCGTTTTCTCCATCCTTAGCAGAGGCAGAGAAAGGGTTTTCTCACCTAAACTTATAAAAACAAATCTACATAGTAAAACGGGGCACAATCTACTCGATCAATACCAGGTTATCAACTTTGAATCAGATGTCAAGAATTTCAATCCAGAACCATGTAGTATGCACTACAAAAATTGTGGTGCTATAGGGTTAGAAGGCCATTGGCCAAACCATCAGGCGAAAAGTAAAATTTAGAACATATGTTTTCAAACTAGATGGGGCCCTAAAATCTATTTACTAGAGGCCAACATGGCTTCTTGAAAAATAGATAGAGTTCAAACACTGCATGTGGCTGGCTCAAGGAGGTGTTTTACCGCGAATAATACCTATAAACTCTGACGGTACCCATCTCGGAGGAAAAGAGATTACCTGCATGATGTGTAGATTTTGCAATAAAGAAACTTATTGTTCTTGTACTGCTGTGTAACTAAATACAAATTATGAAATAGGAATATCACAAACTTGAAAAGAGCAATACCTATTTTGAGCTATGTTAAATCTCTCCTTTTTTCGAGGGGGAGAGGGGCGGACATTTAAAAAAAACTTTATCACTCAATCCATCGGAAATGTACTGATTTGATATTTTAGTGTAGAAAGACCTGGTTTATTAGTTGAAATTCTATATCATCATTAAAAGCAGGTCATTTTCCTTGTTATGCAGTACCATTGATTCGCGATAATTAAGAGAAATGAAGAGTCAACAGT